TTCAGAGGGAATTTGTGCATGTAATACCATGATGATGAAAATTATTGATGAAAATTAGGTTAAAAATCACAATTAGGTAACATTATTGAATCTCGAGAAAGATGAACTATATAACACTAAGGAGTATTTGTTGTCATGTGTCTGGAAGTCATTTCTGAATTGTGATGATCCTAAAACAAAGCTATTTTCTTAGCAAAATATCCTCAAAAGTAGTTTGCTACTGCCTTCTTCTGAGGTTGAGAGAATATGACTTGCCCAAAGTCATACAATTGGTTTCCACAGCTAAATGGGGATTTGAACCCTAGTCTTCCAGAGTCCTAATCCATTGCTCAACCTAATACACAGCCTAATATTTTCCTACATATGCACCTTTTAAAAACTTTGAATGAATACAGGACATCAAAGCATTTTTCTTTCAAAGCATTTTTTCCTTTCCCTAGACCCTTTGTTTTATGTATGTTCTGGAGAATATTAATTCTTGTTTGCTATTTTGTGTCATTTCAGTTGCTCTCAGTAGAATACTGCCTGATGGTGAACTGTGGATTCTCTAATTTTCACTTTTTGAATACTGTTTTAAAGACACAGACTTTGTGTCTCTAAATCAATACCATCACTGTAATGTTGACTATCATCTTGTTAGTGGCAACTCGTGGCTTATGTTACTTGGAGAAGTTGATGTACTGCTGTCCGAGGTGCTGAATCCTATCCTTCAAGTAAGTTCAGCAACGCAGGTGTTTCCTTTAAAGATGAGCCTAATATCCGGAATATCTCCATAACCCTTCTGACCTGGAAGATGTCAGCCGCCACTATTATATGTTTTTGTTTGCTCTCCCTTCCCTCTCTCAAGATATTTTATCTTCACTGTTGGGTTTATTAAATGGTTAGATCACAGATGGACAAGGTTGGGGACTTGGACTAAATTCACTCCAAAAAGCCCTTATAGATTGTATTGTCTTTCTTCACTAGAATAATAGCACTCTTTGAAGCTTCTGGGAAGGACACATGGCTCTTTTTGCCTATTCCCCATCCATATGTTAACTGGTCTAAAGACCATACAGATCTTTTATCCAAATATGAAGCAACACTTTTGACACTTCTATTTCTAGAAACAGGATTACTAAATAGGTAAAAGGACACTGAAAAAGTTAACTGAATTACAGGAAGCTTAAGGATCTCTATTGGATACATTTTACATTTTTGAGAAATTAAAATTGGTTGGACAGCCCTTCTGAGTTCCACAAAATAGTGACATGCTTCTCCAAGCCTTACTAATTCTCTCTCTCCAGAGTTAGATCAAAATCAAAATCCACAGAAAATGACTATTTATTGTATAGGTAAATAGATAGTTAATTGAACCTCAAAAGGAAGAGGGGGCAACCAAGGGCGGGATGGATAAATGATATCCTTGAAGTGACTGGCTTGACCTTGAACTATGATCCAAAATCTTGTCCATGTACATTATTGTTCTGCACTTAAATTAATAAAGCTGTGTTCTCATACTGCCCTCTATTTCCACTGTTGTCATGTGATCGATGCACTTTATCCATCAGCCCTATCATCACAATTGTCCTTGTACCAGTTCCCCGCCCGTAACCAGAACTCATTGGTTGTTGGTTGATGTCTTACTTTTATATTCTGTTATAATGTTGTTGTTTTATTTTGTTTTATGCTGCCATGATATATTTTAATATGATATTTTATTATATTATGCTGTTTGGGCTTGTCCCCATGTAAGCCACCCCAAGTCCCTTTGGGGACATGGAGGTGTGGTATAAAAATAAAGTTGTTATTATTAGTAGTACATTGCCAACAAGGTCACTATGCTGACTGTTGTATTGGATCATATGTCGGACACTTCCCAAGTGTCTAGGACTGTGTGAAGTATCAGCGAATAATGCGTGCAGATCCGAGTAGGGTTGCCTTTTGCAGCTGACAGATGGAAATTTTGTCAGCACCGATTGTGTAGGCCAAGGTCTTTAGGCACTGCACTCAGTGTGCCGATCACCACAGGACCACCTTTACGGGCTTGTGCCAAAGTCTTTGCAGTTCGATCTTTAAAATCCTCATATTGTGTCAGCTTTTCCAGTTGTTTCTTTTCAATTCTGCTGTCACCTGGGATTGCAACATCAACTTGGGTTTTTTAACACAATTGTGAGGTCAGGAGTGTTGTGCTCCAAAACTCTGTCAGTCTGAATTGGGAAGTCCCAGAGTGGTTTGACGTGTTCATTTTCTGTAACTTTTTCCGGCTTGTGATCCCACCAGTTCTTTGTCACAGGCAGATGGTATTTGTGGCACAAGTTCCAATGAATGATCTGAGCAACAGTGTTATACCTCTGCTTGTAGTCTGTCTGCATGATGTTCTTGCAGCAGCTGAGGATTATTGTTGTTGTTGTTGTTGTTATTATTATTATTATTATTATTATTATTATTATTATTAGCTGGAGGGGGCGTTGGCTGACAGGATGTTCTGGCCTGGGCTGGCCCATGAGGTCACAAAGAGTCAGAAGCAACTAAACAAATACAGTGGTCCCTTACTTATTGTGGGTTAAATTCAAGGACCACCCACGATAAGTGAAATTCTGTGAAGTAGGGATGCCCCCTCCCCTCCTCTCCCTCTTTACCTTCTCCCTCTTTACCTCCTCCTCATCGCTGCCTGGGCCTCTTGCCACTTCTTGAGCCCTATCACGCCTCCGCTGCCTCCTCAACCGCGGGGCCCAAGCGGCGGCACAGGATCCAGGTGGCAGCAAGGAGGAGGAGGAAGAAGGTTAAGAGGGTGAGAGGGCAGCTCTTCTTCCCTCCTTGGCCTCTTTACCTTCCTCTTCCTCCTCCTCGTATAGGAGGCTTATAGAGAGTTGCTATTTCCAAAATCAACTAAGTCCTGCACAATTAGACAGGAACTAACACTTTCAAACCAAGAAAAGATTCCCCTGCCCTCCAAAGTTTTCTTACATAGTATAATTTATTTATTATTTATTATTTATTATTTATTACGGTTGCTTATACCCCGCCCTTCTCACCCGGGGGGACTCAGGGCGGCTTACACAAACAAGGCACAATTCGATGCCTGTATTACAAAAACATAACATCAAAAACATAACATCAATAACAACAATAATTATAACACTGATAACAATTAACGTAAATTAACTATTAACTATAATAATATGGACACCCCACCCCCACCCCAAAAATGTTACATAGTGGTGAATTTGAGGACACTGTAATTTGGTGCCAGGGAGAGGTAATCGTGCCCTATTTATCCATTTAATTGTTTTAATGTGAAAATGAATAAGCTAGATTCATTTCATGGACAAGGAAAAATAGGAGGTGTGGTTGTTCAAGAAAGAAGAGTATTATTATTTATTGTGTCAGGAGCAAACCAAACAGTTGTACTGTATTTAAAACACACAAACACACAGAGAGTTTGCAAGCTTGGCATTCTATTAAATGTCCTTTGACCAGTAGCTGGCCACTTGGAGTGCCTCTGGTGTTGCTGTAAGAAGGTCCTCCATTGTGCATGTAGTAGGGCTCAGGTTTCATTGTAGTGGGTGGTCTGTGGTTTGCTCTTCTCCACATTTGCATGTTGTGGACTCCACTTTGTAGCCTCATTTCTTAAGGTTGACTCTGCATCTTGTGGTGCCAGAGCACAGTCTGTTCAGCGCCTTCCAAGCCGCCCAGTTTTCTATGTGCCCAGGAGGGGAGTCTCTCATCCAGTATCAGCCATGGTTCCAGCCCAGATTATCTATCTGAACACATCTCTCCCTATGAACCTTCTAGGAACTTAAGATCGTCTGAGGAGGCCTGCTCTCAATTCCGCCTCCCTCACAGACATGTCTGGTGGGGACGAGAGACAGGGCCTTCTCAGAGGTTATGTTGTGTGTTGAGGCCTCGACCTGTGTAAGCCGCATTGAATCCTTCGGGAGATGCTAGCGGGGTACAAATATAGTTTAATAATAATAATAATAATAATAAAAGAGGTGGCCCCTCGGCTGTGGAACTCCCTGCCTAGGGATGTTCAATCGGCCCCTCCCTCCTGACCTTTTGGAAAAGAGTGATAACCTGGCTCTTTGAGCAAGCATTTGGAACTTCAGCATGACTAGATAAACTCAAATTGGAATACGAACTAGGAACGGCTAAGACGATTGAGGAATTGAACAAAAAGACATCGTTTTTATAATTTTTATTGTTTATTGCTTTTATGGTTTTTAAATGTATTGTGATGTGATTTTATTTCTTTTAACCGGCGTATGGCTTTTTATATATGGCATCAAATTGTTGCCAATTTGTACGCCACCCTGAGTCACCTTCGGGCTGATATGGGCGGGATAGAAGTGACGTAAATAAATAAATAAGTAAATAAATAGAGGTTACAGGTTTTTGCCTGCCGCTGTTGGACTCTCGCTTGCTGAGGTGTCCCCAGTGAGTGTCTCTGTAGATCTTAGAAAACTATTTCTTGATTTAAGTCATTAGCGTACTGAGCCCCCGGTGGTGCAGTGGGTCAAACTCCTGTGCCGGCAGGACTGAAGACTGACAGGTTGCAGGTTCGAATCCGGGGAGAGGCGGATGAGCTCTCTCTATGAGCTCCAGCTCCTTATGTGGGGACATGAGAAAAGCCTCCCACAAGGATGATAAAAACATCAAATCATCCGGGCGTCCCCTGGGCAACGTCCTTGCAGACGACCAATTCTCTCACACCAGAAGTGACTTGCAGTTTCTCGACAAAATAATAATAATAATAATAATAATAATAATAATAATAAATAGTGTACTGGCTGATACCCAAACTGGGGATGGGCTGAAGATGTCACTGCCTTCTCCAAGCTGGATTCATTTCATGGAGTAGGAAAAAAAAGGGGGAGGTGTGGCTGTTCAAGAAAGCAGAGTGAAAAGTGTGTGTTTTTGTGGAAGAGAGGAGAGACCGGAGGGGCAAAGTGTCAGCAGCATCTCCTTTGCTCATCTGGTTAAATGAGCACTTCCTCCGATGCCTCCCTAGCATTTATCCCTCCCAGAGCAGCTGGAAAGAGGAGCAGCAGCCATCAGGGATCCGTCTGAACCACGACAGAAGTGGGTTTGAGAATCCATCAATGCACCAGGGAAGTTCTTCCTGGGCTTCTCAGCCATAAGCGCCTTTGGGCTCTTCACCTGGACACTCCCCGCTCAGGATACCTGTGTTTGAGCGCAGTGGAGTCCTTGTTGTGGGGCTTGAGCAGCTGGAAAAGGGAAACAGAGGGGAGAGGAAGGGAGAGCGGGGGAAAGGAGAAAGAAGCGGGGCCAGGCGCCTCCTCAAAGAGTCCGATAAGGATCGGTGGCGTGACGTCAAGGAGGAGTCTGGCAAAGCGGAGCGGCGGCTGCCCAGAGGCGCTGGGAGCTTCGTGGAGTTGGTGAAGAGCTCGGCAGGAGCGAGAACAGGAGCAGCAGCCTCGGAAGGAGAGAACTACTGGGGAGGCAGACTCACCTGCAAGGTAAGGGGAGCTGTGCGCACGCGCACTCCAAGAGGGACAAGGCAAGGGGCCACTTGGCAACCCAAAGTTGAGGAGGACTGGTGCGAAGGGGGTTGAGAATGGGTGTATCTACACACTGTTGATTGAACGCCCTTTGATTGGCTTTCCACCACCGTGGCTCCATGCTAAGGGGTCCTGGGAGTTGTAGTTTGACAAGGTCTGCACCGTAGAATGAATGCAGTTTGATTCCACTTCATGTTATGAGAGTTTTGTTCAACAAGGTCTACACCATAGAATTGATGCCCTTTGATAGCATTTTAACCATGGCTCCATGCTACAGGATTGTGGGAGTTGTAGTTTGACCAGGTCTACACGGGAATGAATGCAGTTAGATAGCATTGTAACCACTGTGGCTCCATACTATAAGGTCCTGGGAGTTGTAGTTCAACAAGGTCTACACTGTAGAGTGAATGCAGTTTGGTAGCATTGTAACCACCATGCCTCCAGGCTATGGTGTCCTGGGAGTTGTAGTTCAACCAGGTCTATGATGTATAATGAATGCTGTTCAATAGCATTTTAACCACTTTAGTTCCATACTATGGGGTCCTGGAAGTTGTAGTTCAACAAGGGCTGCACTGTAGAATGAATGCCATTTGGTAGCATTTTAACCACCATCACTCCATGCTATGGAGTCCTATTAGTTGTAGTTTGACCAAGTCTACACTATAGGCTGAATGCCCTTTGATAACATTTTCTACCACTGTGGCTCCATGCTAAGGGGCCCTGGGAGTTGTAGTTCGACCAAATGTACACTGTAGAATGAATGCCCTTTGATATCATTTTCCCCACCATGACTCCATCTTATGGTGTCCTGGGAGTTGTAGTTTGACCAGGACTACACTGTAGTCTGAATGCCTTTCAATAGCATTTTCTACCACCATGGCTCCATGCTATGGTGTCCTGGGAGTTGTGGTTTGAGAAGGTCTACACTGTAGAATGACTGCAGTTTGGTAACATTTTAACCACCATGGCTCCATTCTGTGAGGTCCTGGGTGTTGAAATTTGACCATGTCCACATTGTATAATGAATGCAGTTTCATCCCACTCAAACTTCCATGCTATGAGATCCTGGGAGACTTTGACAAGGTCTTCTCCTATGACTCTGTATTGTGCAACTCCTATGATTCCATAGCACGGAGCCATGGCAGTTCAGTGGTGTCAAACTGCATTCATTCTATGGTGTAGATGTGCTCAGAGAGAGCGCGCTCTAGAACCCTAATTGGCAAAACAGTGGGGTAAGAATAGGGCAGGAGTGGAGAACTGTGTCGGGACTTGTAGGAATTAGGCAATGGGGCAAAAGAGTAGGGTAAGACAGGTATGGAGGATGTTGAGGAGTTGAGAGTGTTGCGGAAACACTGGGAGCAGAAGTAGTTGAGTGGTGTGTCCGAATGCAGCATTTTACCATTAACATGAAGGATCATCAAAGAATATATCTGTGGGTGCAACTATACTACAGAATTAATTCGGTTTTGATGTCACTAGAACTGCCATGGCTCAATTCTAAGGAATCAAGGAAGTTGTCGATTGACAAAGTCTTTCACCTTCTCTGCCAATGAGGGTCGGTGCCTCACCAAGCCACAACTCTTAGGATGCTATAGTATGGAGCCAGGGCAGTCAGACTCGGGTTGAACTGCATTCATTCTATAGTGTGGATGCACCTGTTGTCATTGTCATGGTTCTGTCAAACCCCATAAAATACTACTAGTGGCTAGACCTCTTAATTGTAAAATGGAAGGGTTCATAGTGCAGGATGTTATGAGCTTGTTTTTGGGGAAATTGGCTCATGTGCCAAAACAAACCTTTGCGATTGTGCTGGGACGTTTGTATCCTCTGGAGATAACTTTGGAGGAAGTAAATGTTCCTAAAGCATGCACAGAGTGTGCTTCCTTCACCTTCATGGACACTAAACCCATCTGAGATCAGGAGCCGGTGTTTTAAGATAGAGAGGATGGGCAGGCTGGATTTCTGGATTTATTTATCCATTTGGACAGTGCTATGGCACAGCCTTTAGTTGCCAAAGGAAGAGCAATATAAGACACGTGGAAACTGAATTATGTGCTTTGTAAGTTTTCTGTCAGAAGGAGTCTTTTTAGTAGCGACAGCTATCTATGCAGAAGCTGTTTTTTTATGAATGGAAGCACCTGCTTTTCTTCTTTCTGGCGAGGCTCAGAAATATGTTTTGCTGCATAAATAGTAATGCAGCCTGGAAACCAATTTTATGGATCATTTCCTTGCAGTGATTGCAGGAAAACTATATTAGATTTGGCAGTTCAACGTTAAATGCAAATGTGGATCAGAGAGAATGCATGGTGTGTGTTTACCATTCTTGGGTTCTGATTTTTTTTTCAACAGTGACAGATGCCAACTTTTGCATGTTTGCCTTGTTTTTTCAATGTAAATACAGTTTCCACCTGTTGATCTAGACAGTATTGGTAAGTTAGTCAACGCTTCGCTTTTTTGCCCATTAGAAAAAAGAGAGACTGCTGTGAGAGATGCATCATTACGTTGATGTAGGTGATGTAGTGGTCCTGTGTGTCTTGTCATTACTTCTCTGTGTTGTGTGCCCACTCCTTCCAGTTGAAGCAGCACAAGTAGATCTGACATTTCCGATCAGAGTTTTTAAACATAATCCTTAGCGATCCAGGAGGTAACGGGTTTGTATTTGTAATTGTAGAATGCATTTGTTGTTAACCTCAGCTGTTTATTGTTTATAAAAAATGGCAAAAGATGATTTAGCAATCAGAAATTATAATTAGGGATTTTTTCCCCCTGAAATGTGGATTGGCTGGAGGAAACTATAATTAAGGAGAACTTCGTTAAACAAAATTGATATAATGAGAGTTCTGGATATTTATGATTAAAAGCTGAATTGGAATGTGCTCTGAGAAAGTGAAACACGCAATTCATATTTATTGCATACATGCTGATCACTCATAGTGAAGATTGTAAAGGAAGGGATAAGTGCTTGGTGTTCTTAGGGTATTCTAACATAGAAGTAGATGGCAAGTGCACTAGCATTTTATCAGGTGCCTTAGCATTTTATCAGGTTGGTCAACACTCATATCTTTTTCTATATCTTATTATACTTGGATGTCTAGACTCTTTTTATGTCTATTTGTGTACTTTTTTGTTTTTGTCTTTTACTATTGATATAGTCAGTGGACTAATCAATAAACTTTGCTATTTCTAACTTTACTGCATTTATTTTTCTTTAAATACCTCTTTGTTGCATCTTGTACAATTTAAATGTTTTTAACTGAAGTTTTATGGCAAATTGCTTCCACTATATAATAAACTGGAATTGTAACAATCATGAAAGGTTGACTGGAAAAAACATGCATGATTTCATATACACACATACACACACCCCACTGATTAAACCAGAAATTTTAAGTAAACCCTAAACACAGAGGCAAGTGTTGACCCTTTTTATTATAACCAGGGATGGAAGGAAAGTAAACATTTTTACTTTCATTGTGGTAACTTGGGAATCATGTTCCCTCTCGAGAAGACTGCAATAAGAACAACAACAAAAAAGATAATGCTTCTTAATTCTGGATTTGTATTCAAATATCCTTTTTTAAATGTTTGCAGTATAAGCCATTACTCAAGGGAAGCTAAACCATGGCTTGGAGTGAATTTGGTGTCCTCAATTGGCTCAGAGAGAGCCGACAATCCCGGAAACTAATCTTACTGATTGTCTTCATCGCTCTGCTTTTGGACAACATGCTGCTCACTGTCGTTGGTATGTAGTTTTTCTCCCTCTCTCCATCCTACATTTTATTTATTTATTTTGCATTGAAGAACACAAACAAAAAAATAGATGGTATTTTGAAAATGCAACTGTATCCTTTATAAAGGAAACCAGTCATTTGAGATGCATTTCTAAAACTACTTTAAACATTTTACTACAGCTATTATAGTCCTCTTTGTATATATTTGCATAAGCTGTTGAATGATTCCATAGATAAAAAGTAAAAAAAATGAGTATTAGCAATGTCTTTTTTATTTCTATTCTAACTTCCGTTGTTTGTGGTTTTACAAACCAAACTGATGGAGAAGATAAAACCTGAGATGAATGCTTCCTTTTGATGATCTTGTTTTGCTCCTTTCTTTTTGTAAGATTATTTAATGTCAGCAAGCCACAGCATTTAGTCATCATAATTTTTGAAAATAGTGAAGTGACTGGCTTTGAAAATAGGATCAAATTTAATTAACTTGCTTGTTCTCGACCACTTTGGTCAGAGAAAGAAATACGGTACTAATATCAAGGTAGAATGCTTTCCGACTCCATCACTGCATAATTAGTACCAAATATGTTTACAGCTATGTTCACGTGCACACACCTCATAATAAAACCTCTTTCATTCATGTGGTCTTATATTTGCATGTCTACTTATGGAAGCGGGTTTGAAACAAGGTTTATCTTGGAATAACACAAAACTTCTGCTGTGACTCATTTCTGGGAAGGAAATTGCTGTCGATCATTTGCTTGTATAGCAATTTAACTTTCTATATTGAGACTGCAGATAAAAGGCCTTCTCCGCCATAAAATAAAGACCATGAATGATTAAAAAATGCAATTGCTAACACATGCTGATGACTATAGGCTGACAAGATGTCACCATGAGAGACCATACACACAGCTCATCAAATCTTTCATGGCTGTATTACGAATCCCTGATCCACCCCTTTGTAATTCTAGTTGTTGCAGGGGGATACTTGCACCATATTTCTATCTTCCCAGCAAAGGGTCTTCCATATTCCAGCTCTTCAACACTAGACCTAATTTGCATGTTATGCAAATTATTACAAGTATACATATTATTGTTTTTCAGTTATGCAAATTCAGCAAATTTATAGTTGCATTTTTCCAATTATGTCATGTGTTCCAGACTTTGTAGCATTTTTATATTATCTACTCTTCTAAGAGAAATAGTGCTGGACTTGGAAAAGAGAAGCTTAAATTTTAGGTCTATCTTTTGTCATGGCATTTACCACATGACCATGTAGTATCACTACCTCTCAGCAACTCTCAACAATTATTACAGGATTGTTGTGGATGGTCTTGTGATGACGGTCATGACATTTTATCATGCAGAGGACTTCAAAAGCTACTGTATTCTCATTAGATTATTACAAGTGTGGCTTTTTTTTATTGTAATTGCGATGAGATTATTATTTTTTGACAATAGTAGAAAGGTATAGATCTAAGGAGAGCAATGACCAATCCCGATAAAATAGTGAAAAGGAGAGACATCACACTGGCAACGAAGATCAGCATAGTTAAAGCAGTGGCATTCCCCGTAGTAACCCATGGATGTGAGAGCTGACCATAAGGAAGGCTGAGTGACGTAAGATAGACGCTTTTGAACTGTGGTGTTGGCGGAAAATTCTAAGAGTGCCTTGGACCACAACAAGATCAAACCAGTCCATATTCCAGGAAATAATGCCCAGCTGCTCACTGGCGGGAAGAATATTAGAGGCAAAGAATATTAAAGTCAGGAGCGACTTGAGAAACTGCAAGTTGCTTCTGGTGTGAGAGAATTGGCCATCTGCAAGGACATTGCCCAGGGGATGCCCAAATGTTTTGATGTTTTATCATCCTTGTGGGAAGCTTCTGTCATGTCCCCACATGGAGAGCTGGAGCTGATAGAGGGAGCTTATCCATGCTCCCCCTGGATTCTAACCTCTGACCTGTCAGTTTTCAGTCCTGCTGGCACAAGAATTTTACCCACTGCTCCACCGAGGACTCCATAAAGATGAAGTACTTTGGCCACATAATGAGAAGACAGGAAAGCTTGGAGAAGACAATGATGCTGGGGAAAATGGGAGGAAAAAGAAAGAGGGGCCGACCAAGGGCAAGAGGGGTTGATGTTGAAGTGACTGGCTTGACCTTGAAGGAGCTGGGGGTGGTGACGGCTGACAGGGAGCTCTGGCTGGTTCATGAGGTCATGAAGAGCCGGAAGTGACTGAACAAATAAACAACAACAAAAACATCACAGGGAACCCAAATGTGATTTCCAATAGATTAACAGTGGAATATGGAGGGGAAATTAAGAAGCAACACAAAATCTGTGCCATCTTCCCTTGTATTATACCTCACTTTGTACCTTCTTTTCTTGCTTTTTGCACTCTCTCTATCTTTGAAGTCCTTACTCTTTCTTCCCTCCTTTTCTCTTTCTTGCCTTACTTCATGCCTTCACAAGTCATCCCTTCCTCTGTTTCAGCTCACCTTTCTTGCTTTACCTTAGCAACTAGGGCATGCTTCTCTCCCTTACTAGTTGTACTCCACCACTTTCACTTTCATAATTTCTTTCCTCCTTGTACTCTTCTCTTTCAGGTCCCTACTTTTCTTGCTCCTTGTATTCTGCCAACGCATGCCTTCCCCTCCTCCCCCCTTTCCTTGCCTAACCTTACATTTTTCCCAGTGAATCTATCTATTGTAATTTGCCACGCAAATGTCTTTCTTTCCCTCCATCCCTTCCATTTCACCTTACCTTGTGTTGCTACATCTCCCTCATCTTGCACTTTATGCACCTTTTAGCTTCCCTCCCCAGTTTGTTTCACTTCTTGCCCCATGACATGCTTCCTTCTCTTGCTTTGGCACCTTTGAACTTTTTTTCTCTTCACTGCTTGTTTTACTTCTTGTTCTCTAAAGAAGAAAGAGTTATAAAGCTGCCAGTGTTGCTTTAAATATTGGCCAAATGAAAGAAGTAGTGACAACTCCAGTGACAAAGAGAGCAGATGAAGATGAGATAAAATGGTGGAAAGTGAGGCAGTGGTCAGTCCTGGGCAAAGTGGATGAAGAGGAAGTGGCAATTATGGAGATGGTTCTTTCTCTCGCACATCAGGTGGGAGACCCCTAAGTGACCCCCATAAGATGGAACTTGCTTTTTTCTTGGACATTTGAGAAAATAAATAATATTGCTTCAAAATAACAGACTCAATGGAACCTTAAATACTAATTATATTTGTCTTGCAGCTTTTACCCTGCTTTGTTGCACCAATCATTATTTTTACAAGCATCACAAGGAGCTTTACAAAGCAGACTTTAGCCAGACATCCCTCCAAAAGCCAGACTTTTCTCCACAGAGTTGTAATATTGACCTAGGGAAGTGGAAAATGGAACTAGTGAGATAATAGGTCACAACTATCAATCGTATGACTCCCCTTGGGGAGAGAGGGCGTAATATAAATAATAATATAAATAACCACAATATCTGCTTTGAACTGGGTTATCTGAGCCCACACTGCCATATATTCCAATTCAAAGCAGAAAATGTAGGATTTTATAGAGCTGTATGGAAGGGACCCCAATTATTCTGCTGATATATTGTCTTCTCAGTGCTTTGTGTCTTTTTCTACACAATTCTCTTTTCATTGCTTGGCTCCTTTTTTTGTGCAGTGGTCTTGACAGGAAAACACCAAGCAGCAATGCAAATAGGCACCAGATGAACACTCATTTACGACCTTATTGTCAATGGGATTGCTTTTATAACAGCAGTGCTGTATCTTGACCAAAGAGTAAGGGCCAGCTCGCTTTGATGTTATACTCCTGTCAAAGTTACCTTTCTGCTCTTGAGTAGAAAAATATGCCTCTGCAAATATATTGCTGTATCACTGGTTACACAGTAATGGGCATGCCGTGAAAGCCTTTCACTTATCACATCACAAAGGCTTCTTGAATAAATATAATTGCTGTCACAGTAAATAAATACAGACGCTTGCAAGACACTATGCATGTAAATGACTGTTGATCTTGTCACTCATATTCTCTGATAAATGTGCAGTCTCATCCGTTTCCGTTTCATACAACCACACGTTTTCCCTTAATTATTGATGTAATTAGAACACAGCATGCAATTAGGATTTTCGACCACATGAAGAATTTTACTATTACCCCTTTACTCTGTTCTTTCTGTTTCATTGACTACTACGATAATAACCAAAGCCTTAGTCTTTGATCAACATCTTCAGTCCTAAGCACATTACCGTGAAATGAAATTTCCAAATTTCCTCTCCATCATTGGATTGTACTTTATTTGTAATATGATTTAGTGTTTCATCTTTGCTGAGACACCTACAGCCTGATGCTACATATTGTTATTTCTGATAGAAAAAGTATTACAGCCACTGTACTACATTCTTTGGTTTGATAAATAAGTTATATTTAAATCCAACTGATATTCATATAAAGAGCTAGTCATTGTTTGTACTGGTGATAAAGCTTCAATATGATTTAGTTGACTGCTCCAGAACAAACCGTAAAGGCATATCTGTTAGTACAGGCAATCCCCAAGTTGCGAACAAGGTTCTAGAGGTTTGTTCTTAAGTTGAATTTGTATAAGTTGGAACATTTACATTTTAAAATCTAACTCCAGCCGTGTGTGTGTGTGTGTATGCGCATGCTGATTGTCTTCAAAAGTTTGCTCCAGGCACTGTCAGGCCATTATATTCTAATCAAGATGGTCAGTTGAAACATTCACACCTAGCTCCAGCAGACAAAAATCCTTTGTCCCACCCTGGTCATTCCACAGATATATAAATCATTTTTACTAGTTCCAACAGACCTCACTACCTCTGAGGATGCTTGCCATAGATGCAGGCGAAACGTCAGGAGAGAATGCCTCTAGACAATGGCCATATAGCCCGAAAAAAACCCCTACAACAACCCATTGGTGATAAAGCTTCAACTGAGGCACCTTTTCCCCATGATAGATCTTTCAGGAGTGAATTTTCCTTCCCAGGGAAGATTTCTCTAATTTCCTGTTGTCTCACCCCCAATCTTAACTATGGGTCATTTGTTAGTCAGAAGTTTGACACTCAAGGACTGCTTGTATTTCCTTTACGATGTTGAGTAGACTGCAGATGGAGAACTTTTTAAAAGACTTGTAAAAGTCGAAGATTTTGTTAATAAATGTTAACTGCCACCTCTTGTGCACTAAGGCAGTTCTCAAGCTTGCGTATATCTCTGTTAACTCAGGCCCCTTCCACACACCTGAATAAAAACCCACATTATCTGCTTTGGAATCTATGGCAGTGTGGACTCAGATAACCCTGTTCAATGCAGATATTGTAGGATTTTTGCCTTGATATTCTGGGTTATATGGCTATGTGGAAGGGCCCAAAGACACTAACAAAAAGGCTTCATTTTGCAAAGTCTTTTTGCACCTCCAAGTGCTCTGCTTTTCCTCCAAGTGCACTGTCTAGTTGGAAGCATTTTAGCATCATCAGCATTTGGAGAATAGTGAAGGAGGGCTGGAATAACACAAAGTTTTGGTATTGCATTTTAGCAATATTTCTCCAGTAAATGTTACAATAAAGCTGGAAAAGAATGGGAGTCTCCTCTCTCTGATATCACTGTAGTTGTGGGTGCCCTCTTACAGCAGGCAAGGTGAACAGCATGTTCCTCCAGAATCTCTTACTGAGCCTGCATGGACAACAAAACAGAGAGAAAAGGGGGAAAGCAGAGAAGCCTGCTTCACTGGCTTCCCCACATTTGGCCACATAAATAGAAATCATAAGAAAAGTAGAGGCTAGTGAAGGAAATGCTATTCCTAATGCATTTTGGAAGAAGCTCTCAAGTTATACCTAGAAGGTTGAACATGTTTTATTTGCCTGACCTGTTTTTTTCCCCACGAGCATTTTGTTAGTTTTGAATATTTTTTGTCAAAACCTGTTGAACTGCTCTCTTTTTCGAGGCACAGAAGCTATCCCTATTCTTTTTTTGTTACTTCTATATCAGTAGCAAATTTCGCATTAAAGAAGCAATGTTCACCTAACATCTACTTTATTAACTGTACTGTATTTCAAGAATTGAGATGGGGGGGAAAATCATACTCATGCCTTGGTTTGCTTCTGAACTGTCTTCGTATCATTCAGCTTATTATATATCTTTAAACTATTTATCCTTACATGTTTTCTGACAAAAAGGCATACTGTATATACTTGAGTATAAGCCAAGTTTTCCAGCTTTTTTTAGGCTGAAAAAGCCCCCCTTGGCTTATACTCGAGTCAAGGTTATTTATTATTTTTCTCTGTTCTTGTTCTTGTTGTTCTTGTTCTTGATGTTATTATTATTACATTATTATTTTACTCTATTATTATCATTATTACATTTACATTATTTTACTCTATTATTATTATCATTACATTTATTATTTTACTCTATTTATTATTATTGGAAGAATATGTAAGCACATTTACACTGAAGAAGGTTAGAATAATGACTTGGACAGCCTTATCTTAAATTACAGTTTATTTAAATATTTAAAAAAATTAAGCTATTGATGCCTCAATTAATGTAATTTTATTGGCATCTATTTTTATTTTGAAATTTAGCAGTAGTTGCTGCATTTTCCACCTCGGCTTATACTCGAGTCAATATGTTTTCCCAGGTTTTTTGTGATAAAATTAAGTGCCTCAGCTTATATTTGGGTTGGATTATACTCGAATATATACGGTACAAACTGAAAGCTAGCATAGTCTTTATTTATGTATTGGTTCAGTGAATGTACAGCCTTCAATTTATTTTTTCTATCCTGATTCTGAAATCTTTGTATTTCCTGGCATGATATTTGTTGTATCTATTTTTTCCCAGTGCCAATTATTCCCAGTTACCTATACAGCATGAGACACCAGAAAAATGCAACAGAAATCCAAACCATTCGGCCAGACACACCGTCACTAAGCCCAAACAGATTTCAAAGTATATTCTCCTACTATGACAACTCTACGATGATTACTGGAAATCATTCTGAAGGGACAAGGCCAGGAGATTTTTATCATGCACAGACAGAGCAAATGGTGGTAAATATGACTAAGACACCACCACCAGCATCTGACTGCCCCAAGGAAGACAAGGACCTACTAAATGAAAATGTACAAGTCGGTTTACTGTTTGCTTCCAAAGCAACCGTGCAACTCCTCACTAACCCTTTTATAGGACCAATGACAAATAGGTATGCTTTTCCTTTTCTGTGCTAAAGTGGTCTTTAATCCTGATCTGTCATTTTGTGTATCTGAATTTCGCAGAGAGATATTCCTTCTTTCTTCAGTTATTCCTATTGCACACAAGTGATTATTGTATGTGTAGACTTCTTTCTCTAGTAGAAGTATACGAATACTAAAGCTCCAATATACCTGCAATATTTCCTAAATAACAGGGCCATCAGTGAAGTAGATGTCAATTGATTTTACTAAGTCTAAGTTACATTCCTTTTGTACTCCTTGAGAGGCACCATTTTTTGGCATTTCAATACCAGAATATGGAAACAAATGAAATATAGAAAAGTGATTAGACTTGCAAAACTGTTGTAAATTGATTTAGACTTTGATATAGACAAAGGCAACAAGATACCATATTATCTTGGAAGCTATTCGGAGTAAGTTCTGGATTTGGATGGTAAACTACAAATATTGCCAAAGGCTTTCATGGCCAGTATCACTGGATCGTTGTGAGTTTTCCGGGCTGTATGGCCATGTTCCAGAAGCATTCTCTCCTCTGAGGCATCCTCAGAGGTTGTTAGGTCTGTTGGAAACTAGAAATATGCAATTTATGTATCTGTGGATTATCCAGGGTGGGAGAAAGAACTCTTTGTCTGTTTGAGGTAGGTGTGAATGTTGCAGGTGGACACCTTGATTAGCATTTAATGCCCCAGCAGTTTCAAGGTCTGGCTTCTTACTGCCAGGGCCAGCTAATCAGCTCCCAACAAAGGATTCCCCTAGGAAGTAAGAAGCCAGACCTTTAAACTACTAGGCTATTAAATGCTAATCAACGTGGCCAATTGCAACATTTACACCTGCCTCAAACAGACAAGAGTTCTTGTCTGCCATAGATGCAGGTGAAACGTCAGGAGAGAATGCTTCTGGAACATCACCATACAGCCCAGAAAACTCACAACAACCCAAACTACAAACAAATGCCATGTTGTAGGGTGTATTTCTCAGGACAGAATTTTCCAAACAATCTCCAAGTGTTCCTTACCTAAGAAAATCCTGTGAAATTTATGGGTTCACCACAAATCAACAATGACTTGAAAGTGCACGCGCACATGCACACACTCTCATATTTTTCATTATTTCATAGGGGTGCAGTAAAATTTTGTGATAAGTTCTCCTTAGGGTTAACATAAGTTGGAAATTACTTGAAAGCACTTTGCAACAACAACAATGAAGAAAAGTATAAGGTTGGGGAGCCTGCGAATGGCATCATAATGGCTTTGGACATTCACCTCTGTGACAGGTGGTAAGAAGCCACCATTTTACCGTAAATCAGAACTGGAAAGTTGGTTATTTCAAAGCTGCTTGGAAGTGTAGAAATCTGATCGAAAAGCATGGGAGTCTTTATAGCCGGTGTGTATTATTTCAAAGCCTTCAGTGCCATTTTTGAGAACAAAGCCCTCCTTTAAGCTGAAATCATAGCTTGTGGTCTGGAAGCAGAAATGGCTGTAGGCTATTTTAAGCATCAAGTGGTGGTTTTGATGTTTGGTCCAAACCTGTTTGTTGGAGTTTTCCCCTCTAGTCTTTTGTTTCTAATGACAGCAAACCACGACATAGGAAATGGATTAAACCTGGGGGTATGGAGTACAACTTTGCAGGAGACAAAGGCCACGTCTACACTGCCATATAATGCAGTTTCATAATGTAGTTTAGCTGAAATGAACTGCATTATGTGACAGTGTAGATTCATAGAATGCAGTTTAGTCCAGTTAAACTGAATTATGAAATTGTATTATATGGTCAGATGGGGTCTGTGTTGCAGAAAACCCATACGGCAGATCTTGTTCTGTGTGGATTCTGCAACAAAATGTCATTCTTGAAGTCTAAAACATCACATTCTGTTGCACGAGTGTGAAACATTAACAGGTCTTATCTGACAGGAGCTTTTGTACACTCCATCAGATTTGTTTTGATGAAGTGAACTGTAATCCTCTGGCAATTAGCTCACTTGATGTACTGGGAAAGGCCATTGCGGATTGACTCGAGCAGAGGATGTGAGGACCACCTTGTGACTTTGTGACCACGTGTCTCCTATTCTCAGTTTGCTCTGTGCTCCTGTACAGCAGATGGGTTTTGAGGAGGTAGCCAATGAGATAGAACTGTTTGGGTTCAAATTGCACGGAGTGACAGGACTCAATGCGATTAAGTTTCAGGTTGGGTGGGATGAGATAGTTAGGTTGTGTTGAGCTTCCAGGAACTCCTTCAGGGAGTTGACTCTGGAGCTCCGGTTCTATTACCTTGTAGGTTTGTATTTGCTATGTATGTTACATACTGTCACAACTTTGTGGGGGGGGGGGGGGATTAGCATGGATCCTGAATCCAGGAGTCAGAGTTCCCTTACCATGAAGACATCACTAGCAGAATGAGGATCCTCTTTAGGGACTCTTGAGTTTAGGCAGTGGAGACAGGTCTGGATTGTCTTGGGGACACATGTCTTTATGGCACCTCCTGGTGGCAGGAGAAGATGTCTAGTGGAGCTGTTCCAGTGGTCATTTCTCTCATCATTCTCGTGGTCCCAAAGTATCGGTCTCATCTATAATTAGGCAAGTTGGATCTGGGACCCATGTGTTTGAGGCAATCCCTTTCACAGCTGTAACTAATAAAGTTGTGCTCTGTTTTTCCTTGTATATTGAGTTGCATATATATCAAAGACAAAGTGCATGCAATTAAACCCACAAGTGTTGTTATTGATTTGATAATTTCAGACCTAGGCCAATTTCTTTCCCTTGTTGCAAAAATTGGGGAATATGAAACAAATGAGAAGAATAAGATGGTGTTGCACAAAATTCTTGCCAGAATTGAAGGAATAGCATTCTTAGCGGAGCCCCGTGGTGTGTTTCCAGCTCAGTAATAGAAAATGTTTTCATCTTTCCTTCTTATGTTATGTCCAGAGTGTGCTTTCAAAGCAAGAGGGAGTAAATCCTACATTGTTTATAGGCATATCTACAGTACATAAATATAACATTTGATACGCCTTTACTTGGTATTTTATAATCCAAACTGTTTCAGTTTTTGTTTTTAGGGGGGAAAAAGTGAAATATTACAGGAAAAACTCTATCTCCCCAATTTATATATTCCAATTCAAAGTACTCAAAGTATCCCCTTGTAGCTTGAGGATGACTGTCTTCCAGATGTGTTGTCTTGGCGATGGGTCTGTAGGTGACTGTGGAGCCCTATTCTTGATTCACATCTTCTCCCGCAGTGAGGACATCGGTTTCCAGGTGGAAGGCAGTCCTCTTGGCACATTTCTCTCTTTTGCCCTCCGTTCACACCTCTTCAAATTCCACAGCACTGCTGGTCACAGCTGACCTCCAGTTAGAGTGCTCAAGGGCCAGGGCTTTCCAATTCTTGGTGTCTATGCCATAGTTTTTAAAGCTGGCTTTAAGTCCATCTTTTCAAAGTACTAGGGTTGGGGAGCCCTAACCTTTTATTCTGATTTAATATTAGAGTTGTAAGTCACAAATGTAATTCCTTTCTCTCTTACCCATTTACAAAAGCATGTCACCACCGTTATAGCTGATTGTCACCACTTTCCCTTGTCTCCATCCTACAGAACGCTAGGATTTTGAGTTTGATTAGGACTTTAGAATTCTCTGCTTGAGATCGCTAGCTCATTCCCTTAACACTTTTTCTATGTATCTTGCCAAAACAATTTTCAGAATTCTGTAGGAGGGAGCAATGACAGTTGAAATTATATCAAACTGTAACATAGCTTTCCTCACTCCTTTGTTTCATATTAGGAGAGCCTGGTGAGAAATACATCACTTCTGCAAGACACACTTTTGGGGGGGGGGGGGGAGTATATCTACACTGTAGAATTAATGCAATTTGCTTCCATTTTAACTGCCATGACTCAATACTATGAAACCCTGGGATTTGTCATATGGTGAGGTGCCAGCACTTTTTTGGCTGCGAAGGCTAAAGACCTTTCCCCCCATGGTTCTACAGCATTAATTTATGTCAAATAAAATTATGTCCAGTTGTATTTATTCTACAGAGTAGATGTACTTTGGGTTTCTACATTGCTCTGAATCATAATTTTCAACAAAGCTTCTATTTTAATTGAACCACTTTGGCGGGGCCTTGCTTCAAACGAGGCAAGGTGATCGAGGTGAATCCAAAGTAAACCTCTACTATCCTTCTTTAAAGAGCTTTTGGCAATACTATATGTAAAGGGACTTGCAAAAACAGTAGTTACAGAATCAAGCACAGCGATGCTGATAGTGCCTCCTTGTACATTCTAATAATTGTTTCCCATTGAACTGTGATTGCATTTGTTGGTGATGTGCCCAATTATCCCTTAAGACCACCAGTCAAAACATAGCAAAAACAGAGACTACTATAGTGACCTTGTTCTTCTCAAATGTACCATGAAATTAGGATAACTCTTTAAAATATTAATATTTGATAATGGATAGGGATCTGGAACTGATTTTGAGGCAATGGGACTGGGCGTTGACAGATGGGTTGCTAGTAGAGTGAATATGCAGGTTTTTCTACAGGCAAATATGATAAGAAATATATTGCTCCAAAGGAACCAATGTATGAGAGAATTAATATTTTTAGAAGATAAATTACCAACATTCCCCAATTATCATGATCATATGTTCCCTCTATATTACGAAAGAGTGTTGCTCAAGAATCCTGTAGTTGTCACTGAGAATGTCTTAAGCATTGGTTTCTGCTCTTTTCTGCTTCCATAAAATATAATAGATGGAAATTGATGCTCTCCAGTTCTACTGGCAGTCAGTGATATGCAACACCCAGTGAAGGCTCTGAGAACAGCCTGATGCTTTAGTGTTGTAACTAAATTGTCATGGCTTGGAGGAGACAACTAGAAAGCAAATTAAATTGTACAGAATGTTCTAAAAGGCCATTTTGAGTTTTCCAAAGGAAACAATTCTTTAAAAAAACATTTGAAGATAAACTTTTGAAGATAGCAAGCCAACATTTTGTGTCTGTTTTCTTTTCCAGAATAGGATATCAGATCCCCTTGTTTGCTGGCTTCTGCATCATGTTCGTTTCAACAATTAGTAAGTGTTTTTTTCTCCTGAGTGCTGCAGGAAGGAGGGACAGGGAGGAAGGAAGCATATTTTTATATTGCAGGACCTGCCAGTCTCAGATTAGATAGCCTTTGGCTCTTGGATTATAGTCGGAAATATACGACAACTTGTCAGAAGCATCCATTAATGAGTTTTAACACTGTTATAGAACCTCAGTGTTTCATAATAGTGTGGTGCATATACAGGGTTAGTCAAAATGAATAGGCCAATAAGAAAATTAATTTTAGACGAATGTATGTTTAGTTGTAA